TGTCACGGAACGGATTAAGTTCGTATCCCGAGGTACCACTGTATTTTGCACACCTCTGTTGTTTGTAAAGGAATTGCAGGGATTAGAAGTGAAGAGAAAACCGGGAAACAGACCTTGCCGTTGTCAATATTTAAAGATATCCTGGCTTGGTTCACACAACACACTTCTCTAGGTCAAAGTCTAGCAGCTGCATTCACTCAACACACTAAACTTGGTTAATCTGAACCCTGGTTTGTTTTCACTGTTTTGTCTAGATGGCTTAGAGTATTCTGCATACCCAGCCTACATTACTAGTTTATGGTTCAGGGTATTGTGCAAACTCAGAGCAAAGTTAGTACACTAACCAGATTAAGCATGTTGTGTGAATACAGGCAAGAGCAGAATGGATGATTGAATTGCAACTCAGGGATTCCATCATGTTTCCAAAGGAATTGCTACAGGCATCCCTAAACTGGAAGTTTAATTGGCTATAACTATTCTGCAGATATAGAGTCAAATGGAAAAACAGAGAAACAGAACTTAATTGAGATAACTGCACTGAAAATCGAAAACATTTGTTTCCCTAACATGCATTCAAACTCTCCTACTGAGATAGGGATGGGGAGAGGGAATAAAAAAAGTGCCAGAAAAAGGCACTTTCCTACCATAATGTTTGGGAATGTTAACTTGTGTCAAAGAAGGGTGCAAAATCAAAGAATACACAGGATAAAAAAGGAGGAGAAAGGGGAAAGAGACTTTCCACAATGGGATTTCCCACCTATAAAGATAAGTAGTTTAAAGATAGAATAATAATAATGAAAAAATAGCTCTATGTATACTCTTTGGAAACCTATGTATTGGCCATCTTTATTTGGCTTGATATAACAAAGCCATATCCATCCATCCATCCATCCATCCATCCATCCATCCATCCATCCATCCAACCATCCATCCATCCATCCGCCAATTAGGGATTCCTGGTGATTTACAGTACTTCTTCACTCAACAAATTATTACTTTCTGAAATCTGCAGGCATGAGATGCAGCAGTGGTGCATCAGCAACTTAAA